ACAGATACCTGGGAGACGAAGGGAAAACGGGTTGAATCTCTGCTAGAAGAACACAGCGCCATAGATCTTAATGGCTTCAGAGTTTTCTTACCTGTCGCAGTAGAGCTGGAGGTGGCGGGGCATCTCTCCATGGGGCACAGCGTCGGGGGCCTCCTGCAGACGGAGCGTCTGGAAGTCAACACAAGCGCAGCGGTCCGGGACGATGAAGTAAGGATCCACGGGACACTTGAGCCTGCCGACATTCTCACTGAGTGGGGAACAAAAAAAGGTTAGAAATGGTATGGAGCAAACCTTTTTTTTTATTAAATTATTGTTGCAAGGAAATATACCACAAAAAAAAATAATTTTGTTCCACTATTTTTGTCAAAGAACACATTTTGTAAACAGAAATTCAAAGAAAGGATAACATAAATCCAGAAATTAACCTTTAAAAAGCTTCTTAATAAAAAAAGGGCTTAAGAGTAACTCATGACTGTTTATTCAAATTTTATATTTTTAATAACAACTGTTCTAAAATTGCCTTTAAAGAAATTACATTACAATTTTTTATTCCAATTTCTTTTTTCAGATGGTTTATTCCATCTAATTCTGTTTTAAATTACATTCTCCTCACCTCAAACCCAATAGAAATGCCTATTCCTGACCAATAAAAATGTTGACAGCGTCCTTTAAGACCAATATGCTCCTCACCCCGTAGAAAAGCCCGACCAAAGAATGTGATGCTTAAAATGAGAAAGCAATCAATAAAAACGCAACCCGAAAAAGTGAAATTTGAAAACAGTAAAACTTGAAAATACAAAATCTGTTTAAGAAAAAAAATCCAATAAAATCAGCAAAATTACTCTTCAAACCTCTTTTTTTTTTTTTTTTTTTTTTAGAACATTTTTATGTTATTTATGTTACTACAACATTTTTCAAAGTTTAATTTCCGGATCGCACTTCTTTGCATTTAATATCTTTGCTTGCATCGCCTCCCCACACACTCACCTGTTACACTTGCGCGGCAGAGCGTAGCCCTGCAGCCCCGGAGGGAGCGGGATGTTGTTGAGGACGTTGCGGCAGCCGCGGCACTGCAGACACACCTTGGTGGCTTTCGCTTTGACCGCTGTGGCCGAGATGATGATGCCGTGAACCTTCACCAGACGAGACACCTGCTCCGACTGACACAGGAGGAGTTGATGGTTAAAGGCCTGATCCATTACTTAAATCACAGTTAGTAGTGATGCAGCCATCTAACATTTATTCGCCTCTTTGGCAAAATATCTGCTTCGTTTGTCTATCCAGGAAGATTTTATGACAATAAGGCTGTTTAACAAATCCATTTGTGAAAGACGTTTCACTTCCCATCCAGGAAGCTTTTTCAATTCAAATGTCTAGCGTTGACTATAAAGCAACTCAAGGCTATTTCTGCCACTTGAATAGAAGAAGCTTCCTGGATGGGAAGCACAACGTCTTCAAACTTGGAAACAAAGTCCAGTGTTTTTTTTTTTTTTTTGGAATGACTATGACCTCGATGACTGAGAATCTTCACTAGCATATTTGTGAAAGGTTTTCTTTAAACAAGTTTGGGATAATTTTCTCAGACGGAAGTGATGTACCTTGAGGCTGCGAATGGATGCATGATGCGCGTCACTCTTTAACATGACCTGGATGTCCTGGACAGTCTCCTCGCCAACAGGCCGGGGACGGGTTACCTCGTCCGCTACTTCCTTAGCAGCTTCCTCCAACTGTGATTCGAAACAGTTTGTGTCAGCGGAAAGAAATTATATCGGTGTGGAAAAGAAAAAGAGGAGGAAGAAGAGAACTAGTGAACTCACCAAGGGCAGGTTCTCATTGGGCTGCTTGTAAAGGCAGTCAGACAAATCTTCATCGAAGCTGGCGAGGTCCTCTACCTCCACCTCCACCCAGTACTCCCCCAAGGTGTAATGCCGCTTCAGCTCATCTCTGATTGAAATCAGGACAAATTAAACCGTGAACATTTTTTTATATCCTCCGTCACACTCTATTGTATTCATCTTCCCATAACTTTAACAACTTTCCCTGTTTCGGCTAATGGGACGATCCCACAGCATTATGCTGTCACCACCAAGTGGTAACTGCAGAGATATTGTAGAAATGCCCATATCACCATCATTACATTTCACTGTAGGCATGGAGAGCTCAGATCGATCTACAAATTTAGTTCCCAACAAAGTTCGGGTTTTGAATGACGTAAAGTTGTAGTTTGGCCTCATATGGCCTGGTCTCTCATCTGGCTGTTAGCCTAGAACACTTTGCACAGGACTTTATGAAAGTGTAGTGAGAAAACAATTTTTTGCAATATCATTTTTTATAAAGTCTAAATTTGAAGAGATTGCAGAGCAATTGTGCTGAAATTGGCCTCATGCACGTGAGAAAGCAGCGACTGCTGCAGCTGGAAACGAAGTGATCAGACCTCAAGGCCCTGATGCAGAAGTCTGAACACCCCCAATAACTTTATAATTCATGTTTTGTAACCAAGAACACTTCGGATATCCCTAACTTTACAAAATAAAAAATATATATATACAAAGAAACAGACATTTACGAACAGTTGATCTGAAAATGTATTTATTATTTATGTTCCACGACCCTACAGCTTGTTTTCCTCTATATAGTCCATATTTACCTGTATTTATATGTAAAACCGGTGCGGTCGGTTCCCACTCGGAACTGGCGCAGAAACTCGCGGAATCTCTTCTTAATCTGGATCCGTTTCTGTCCTCCTTCATCTCCGCCGGGAGCCTCTCCTCCTCCGAAACTGTCGCTGTAATAAACTCCGGGGTCGTCAAAGCCAGACATTCTGCAGGTGGATCTTTGAATGCCGAGGAAGAAGAAGGGTTTTTCTTTTCCGAAGCGGACAACAACCGACGGTCACCAAGCAGCACGGATGAAGAGTTTCGCGGGGAAAATAAAGTATCTTCCTGTCTGATTTCCCGCGAACGTCTTTCAGGAGCGCGCTTCTGCTAACTGCTGATTGGTGGAAACAAACAGCAGTTCTTTCTATTGGTCAGGGAAAAATGAAAGCATATAACCGTCACACATAGGAGGCGGGACTTAACGGGAGTATGGCGCGAAAAGGACAACGGAGGGTATGGCTATAAGCCAACATATGCTGGGGAAGAAAAAAATGGAGCTCCGAGCAAACTAGTTTTCATTTATATAGTTTGGAAGTTATTCTTGTCTTAAAAAATTTGAAGTATTTACAATATAACATTCTCTGTGTACATTAAACATTTGTAATCATTGTTATGGAATAAGTTAAAACTACACATCAAAATTTTGAGACTTTTAGAAATGTGGTTTATTTTTTCTTTAAGATAACTGTTTCCGTTTGGGTAGATGCTTAAGTAAAAGTTATTTTAATAAACTGCTTTTTTATGTGGCTAATATGGCTCACAGCCCAGGGCAGCATGCAGCATGGGAAGGAAACCCAAATCACTTATGCAGCTCAAATGATTCTTTTATATTAAATGTATTAAATATAATTTTATCAATATTTTGCATTTGTCTGGACATGCACCCCACTGTATAAACCCTAGCTGTCTCAGGAAACATAACAGTGGAATCTGATTTAAAGCTTTGCATCGGTGTTAAAGGGCAATTTCCTGATTTTTAGAGAAGTTGGAGCAATTTTCACAAAATGATCAGATTACGTCTTTCAAATCTGAATTATTTTGAGATCATAAACTAATGATGAATAAACTTTCAACAAAGTATATAAAAGAAAAGTGGGAATCAGAGCTTTTAGATGAAGATTGGTTAGATTGGTCAGACATACACCAGTTCACGGATATGGAGGGAGTTCACATGGAAAAATCTAGTACGATTTTTAATCACGCCTTAAGTCAAGAATAACTATGGAATTGTGGATCAGTGAACACAGACCACTCTTACATATTTTGGAACTAAAATTGTTCAATTTTGGAAAAGTTTACTTATCTTAGCCATAAAGGGTTATAAAGCACAAACATTTCGAGTTTTAAAGAACTTACTGGCTAGAAGCAGCACGGCAGAGAAATTAAAGTATTTAATGTTTTCACTTTCTTGCGCATCAAGATAATAGTGTAGATATCTTGACGGAAACAAATGGTGCACAGTGCCTTAGTTTTCTTAACATTACTTTAAAATTTGGGGCTTCATTAAAGAAAACTTTATACTACTCCAGGTTCTCAACCAAAGTTTTCAAAGGTATAGTGGAGGATGTTCTTTTTCCAATGATACTGGTGACATGTTTACATAAGGCCGTCCTACGTGCTCGTCCCCATTTTTACTTACCGGTGGTGAGTCTGACATAGTGGAAACATTGCAAATCTTCCTGTGGAAAGTAAGCTTGTATGAGCGATGCAAACAGCAACTTTTTAATATGAGGAGAAATGGACACGAGGAGAAATGGGCTTGTGAATGCTCTCTCATGCATTTAATAAGCGTTCCCTCTCGGGAGCGGGTACAGGGTTGTGAATGTACATTTCTTTTTAAAAGTGGAGAGGGTGGATCTTTTCACCCTTTAACAGGTCAGTTTATCCTTGACTTTCGTTTTAAGAGAAGTTTGAAACCTCCATTGAAATTTTCATGCATAATAAACAAAAAACAACCTCCAACCCCCCAAAAAAACAAACCTGTTTAAAGCCTTTCATAAGTAAAATCTGTAATGGTGGCAACTTGATCCTTTGATATATTTTTCTATAGGGACCTAGACTCAATATGTTTAAAAATACAAATTAAAGCAGTAAAGTTTCTACAAACAGGATGTATGACGGATGTCAAAAAGTTTGTGATGTCTGTACGATGTGGTCCTTCATGCAGACGTATTTGATGAGACGCCATCAAATTTTTCTCTACCAAAAAAAAACACCACAATTCTTTAAGTCCAAAAGCTATGTTTATTGTTTTGGCATAAAAGGATTGAAGAAATCATTATCATAGTAGTTGAGGAAACAATAAACTGGTCAAATATCGCGGCAATCATTCAAAATTACATCCTTGTTAGTGCAGCGGCAGTTTATTTCTTAGCCCTTTTGGTCTTCAAATGCAAACATCTACAATCCAGCATCTAAGAAAAAATAATTTCTTTTTTATTTGACCTACAAGCGTAAATGTTACTTCCATCTTCATCAGTAACAGGCGGTGTGGCCTTTACAGCCGAGCAGTTAGCTGAAGCTCCCCAGCTCCTCTTCCTCCTCTCAGGATATGACCCTGTGCTTCCGGCCAGTCTGGATGAAAGCATCCACGCAGCGGTCGATGTCGTCATCGGTGTGGGCTGCTGAAATCTGAACCCGGATTCTGGCTTTACCCTTCGGCACCACCGGGTAAGAGAAGCCAATCACGTAGATACCTGTGGGAAGGAAGAAGTTTAATCGGATGAGGTCCTGTGAAACGCAGACTCCTGTGGCGTCCTCTGAGTCGTGGCATCTCACCGTGCTTCAGCATGTCATCAGCCATCAGGGAAGCCAGACGCGCGTCACCGAGCATCACGGGACAGATGGGATGGGAGGAGCCTGCAATGGTGAAGCCAGCCTGCGTCATCTTGTTCCGGAACCTGACAGGGAAAAGATGGGGGGGGATTTAGAGCAACAATCACACGTTAGAATCCTAAGCTTTGATAGGATTGAACGTTTGAACATTTGGTTTATCCAAAGAGCAAACGAACCTCATGGTTTTTGCTGTCATACTTTGTGCGATCTCGCTGGAGGCGAGCAGCAGCTCCACAGCCCGGGTGGCACAGCCCACCACAGGAGGCGGGAGGGCGTTGGAGAACAGGTAAGGCCGCGAACGCTGCCTGAGGAGGTCAATGAGAGGCTTTGGACCAACGGTGTACCCACCTGAGAGAGGGAGTGACAGAGAAGTTTAACAAAGAATGACAGACAAGGAAAAAGTGAAGCAGGCAATACTTGGCGCCCTGAAAAGCACCAAAACGTTTCCTTAGAACTGAATTTAGACGCTGGCCAAGCACTCCTACCCATATGGTAGACAGGATGAAGAGCATTGTTTATTTTAGTCATACACCTTGAATAATAAAGCAAAGGATCATATGGTCATGGGTGTTATGATACAAAGGAAAAAGTAGCCAGATTTCCACCACCCTCTTAAAACCGATCCGTGCCGAGCTCGGTTCCTTACGACTATTTACACACCATGCTAGCACGGTTCCTCGCCTCAGTGACAATCTACGGTACTACTGCTCTCTAGAGGACATTCAGGACGTTTTCGGAGAGTCAGGCGAAGAAGGCAGCCTTTAGTGAATTTACTTACCAGAGTCGGCTTATAGGAAGTGGATACGACAAATAATAGTCTAAGCAGAGCTAACAGACGCAGGAAACGACAGATGTTGAGGTTCATCACACTGCTAAACAGAATCATCACTAAAAATCCTATGGCACGGTAGGGAGGCTAGCATTTTTATCAATGTCTGAAATTCATCATTACGGAGGCTGACAGTAAGGAGATGACATGGTCTGCTCATGCGCTCTTGTTATCTGAGAACCAAGCCAGAACTGAACCACGCCGAGCTCCACTGATGAACTATGGCTCATACGTGTGCCATAAGTTACAGGTAAGTTAATCGATTGTTGACATATGTTAGGTGTAAGTTATTCTAGCTCAGGAGTAACAAATTAAAAATCAGCGCGGTCCGAAGAAAGAAAATCAACAGGAGAGCTGAGAAGTAATGGAGGATGTTGAATGTGGGGGTTAAACTTTCACACCACCTTCTGTGTTCCTCCTAGCAAACGGCGACGATGTTCCCTTTGACTGAAACCAGGGCCTCTTTCAGGAGTTCGTACATAAAAGCCAGGTTAGTGAAGTTATTTTTAGATTCACGTAAACAGATTCAACACAATGAGCTGTGAATCTCTGCAGCTCCTCCACAGTTACCAGTTACTCCGATTAATGCCTGCCTGGCTCTCAGCCTGTCAGGTGGACGGCCAAATCTTGACAGATTTGCAGTAGCATCAAACTCTTTTCAAGTTTGGGTGCTGTTCTGAACGTCAACCAAAACATATTTCCATTGTTGTATGAAACCGTCACTAAAATGTACAGAGGGAGGGTTCTGGTGCTGGACTGGACGTACCTGCTGCTCCTCCCAAGGCTTTTCCCAAAGTGGAGTTCACGATCTGAACTCTGTCCATCACTCCAAGAAGCTCATCTGTTCCTCTGCACATTGGGAGACAGATTTAGTCACATTTCAGGTAGAAACAAAAAAACACCTAAACCTACTTCCTTTAACTCCTCCCTGCCTGCTTTAGTTCTGTACTGTGCCAGTTGTGTGCTTCCCTTGTCATCTGTGTTGCAGATAATTCTAGTTTCCACCATCCCTGAATGTAACAGCAGCGAATAAATTGTTCAGCCAGTGTGCTGAGATGTTGGTCAAGATTCAAGACTCCAGCAATCCGAGGCCCCGCCCACCACGCCAAAACAGGGCCAGAAGTTTAAAGCTGAAAAAAAAAAAAAATCTGCAACTGCAAAAAAGACAAAACAAAAACTTGGATATGAAAAGTAGTTTAACAAAGCAGTTTAAAACTTTTTTGTCCGGTTTCAAAAAGTTTTTTTTTCTCCTAGTTGCAATTTATTTATTTTTTTGGTAATTTCTAATTTTGCAGAATCAGAATCAGATTTATGGCCAAGTAAGTTTGCACGTACAAGGAATTTGACTTGGTGTTGATGTTGCAGACAAATTCGATATATATACAGAATCTGTAACTATATCCAATACAAAACATACAATATACTATATACAATATATAGGCATATACTTTATACACAGTAGACGATGCGTTAATGTAACGCAGGAGGTCTGTAGATGCTATTTTGTTGTAGCTTCTAGGTCCTGAACGGGGCAGGGAGAGAGGCGGTGTCAAGTGTCACGGGGTCTCTGGGCCTTGTTTATAAGGCTGGCAGCAGATGGGAAGAAACTGTTCTTGTGGCTGAGGTTTTGGTCCTGATGGATCGCAGAGGGAAGTGTCTAAAATAGTTTACGGCGGGGGTGCGAGCGATCAGCCACAATCGTCCCTGTATGCCCTCAGAGTCCTGGAGAGATTGCAGCCAATCACCTTTTCTGCAGACTGGATGACATACTGCTGTTTGCCCTTGTCCTTAGCGGTGGCACCAGCGTACCAGGTGGTGATGGAGGAGGTGAGGATGGACTCAACGGTGGAGGAGTAGAAGTGCACCATCATTGTTATTGGCAGGTTGATTTTTTTCTGCTGCTACAGGAAGTAAATCCTCTGCTGGGCTTTCTTGGTGAGGGAGTTGATGTTCAGCTCCCACTTTAGGTCCTGTGACATGATAGTTCCCAGGAAGCGGAAAGACTCCACAGTGTCAATAGTTGAGTCACAGAGGTTGATGGGGAAAGCTGAGGCTGAGTTCTTCCTGAAGTCCACAACCATCTTCAATGTTTTTAGAGCGTTGAGCTCCAGGTTGTTCTCCCTGCCCCAGGTCGCCAGATGGTCAACCTCCCACCTGTAGGCGGACTCGTCACCATCAGAGATAAGTCCGATAAGTGTGGTGTCATCCGCAAAACTTTTGAATAGGGCCCAAAATAATTTCTCAGTTAAAATTTTTTTTGTTCTTCCCATCAAACCCTATGGCCTCAATTTAACTCTATTTTTTTCCCAGTAAAATAACTTTTATTTCTGCTTTTTCTATTCGTTCTGTGGGGGTCATTGTTTTTTTAATATTCATTTTGATAAAAAAAAAGATGCAGCTATGACCTTTCAATCAGTCCTTCATATTCTAGATTTCTAATTTTCTCTGCTTCTAAAAAGAGATCAGTGATACTTTAATGTTCAGATATAAAAATGTCTTTAGGTCAAAGGTAACACCCTCTCCCCCGTTGCGATAAGAGCAAAATCTTCCTCACCGTCCGCGAGGCCCGAGGAACCCAGTGGCGTGACATTCATCGATGAACACCATGGCTCCGTACTTTTCGGCGAGGTCACATATTCCTTGGAGGGGAGCCACATCTCCATCCATGGAGAAGACTCCATCTGTCACTACGAGGCGCATTCTAGAAGACTGAGGAGGACAAACCCATGAAAGGAACTCACAACCAATCAAACATGATTTTTAAAGGGCTAGTGCTTAAAAAAAATTTTTCTCAATTTTTTTACACACCTGAGCTTCTTTAAGCTTATCCTCCAGGTCATTGAGGTCCATGTGTTTGTAGCGCAGCCTCTTGGCCCTGCAGAGGCGGATCCCGTCGATGATGGAGGCGTGGTTGAGCTCATCTGACAGCACGGCGTCATCTGGGCCCAACAGCACCTGTGAAAGGTTATTTTCTGCTTTACCGATGAAAGACAAATTTTTTTCATTTGTTCAGAGTTAAAGGAGAGTAAATGTCGACGTACTTCAAACAACCCGGCGTTTGCGTCGAAACAGCTGGCGTAGAGGATGCAGTCCTCCCTTTCATGAAACTCTGCCAGCTTCTGCTCCAGGTTTTTGTGCAGATCCTTAGATAGAAAAACAAAAAGATGCTCTGCAAATATAACCTTTTTCTCCCAAAACAACCACCTAATTCTAAGGCATCTTATAAGTGTTTTAGTTGATAGAACAAAAGAGTTTAGACTTGTTTGCCAACTGATTCCCAAAGTGAGGGTCGTGACCCGTGGGATTCTATTTTACAATCATCTTTAATTGATTTTCTTGAGGTTTATTTAAATACTTTGTCATGAGTTGAACCTGGTGACATTAGGTCTGTCAGGAGCTGAAACGTTTGAGGAGTTGTTAACACATCGAACCTAGAGAGTAGGGGTGTAAATCATATCCATCATGGCGATTCAATTCAGTACCGATTTCCTGACCCAACGATTCGATTATTTTCGATACTCAAGAATACACCACGATTCGATTCATCGGTTGATTTTTTTTTATTTTTATTTATTTATTTTTTTTTTTTACACACCTTACAGTCTAAACAATGTTTTAAGTTTGAAATAAATCAATGAAAGCTGTAATATCATTATGCATTTTTTTTTTTTAGTAACAACAGCAAATAACAGAAGAAGAAAAGTTGCATCAAAAAATACTGCGAAAATACTGCACATAATCAGTGCAATTCAATACCTCGGCCCCAGACGTCCCCGCCCCCTTGAAAGACGCTCCGCTGCACCTCTCCCAAATTGTAGCTGACCGCACACAGGAGGCCGGCTTGTTTTGTTTTTATGACCGAAATTGTGGAAAACAACTCGTGAAGTTTGACCCACTAGAAGAGCGAGGTGCGCGAGAATGCTGGGAGCCTTTTTCCACCTGGATCTCCGCTCTTTTTGGTCCTCTTGTCCCTCCATCGTCGGACTAAACTCGCCCCCACTTCCTCACCGCCTCGGCTGTATCTAGACCCACAGTGTGTAGCACAGACCACGCTTCAATATTGAGCATAAATAAAAAATGTCTTTGTCAAGCTTACTGCAACAAACTGCTTTAAGAGAGGAAGCGAGGTAGGAGGGCAAAATAGGTTTACCGCCACCGCAGCACAGGAGGGAGAATTACGTCCAGGAGGAAATGGATAAAAATAGACCGGAGAAAAAAAAAACATGAATCGATACTCTTGCGGACGTATCGATGCATCGTCGGCTGTTGGATCGATGCATCGATACAAAACGATTATTATTTACACCCCTACTAGAGAGAATCATACGTTTTCCAAATTGTTTACTCTGATGTGCTGAAATAAATGGCTGCAGATCATCTAATTATGCACCATTCTTTTGGTGAAACATATTTGTGACATTATAATGCTGTGGACATTTATATATAGATAGATATACTTTACCGTGGGACCAGGAAGGGGAGCTGTGTTTTTTAGTAAGATAAAATGAGTGAAAGGAATGCAAACATTAATGCACTTTTCAGATTTTTGTGGGCAAGATATTTTATAATGTTCTGTCCACTTCCTCGCCATGCATATTTCTGTGTTTGTCATGTTCATAAACTCCAGGGAAATACACTGAAGTTCAGGAGTGAGGAACACTTTTTTTAGGGCACTACATGGATTTAGCAGTTTTGGGGCTCTGAGGGCATTAACAATCACCTTACCTGCGTCCCACAGATGAATCTGACAGAGCTCAGTCCAGCTCCGTGCGTCTTCAGAGCATCTATTCCCGCCTGCATCACCTCTGGATGACTGGACAGGCCGAGGTAGTTGTTGGCACAGAAGTTCAGGATACCTAAGATGGAGATTTTCCAATCAAGAGAGAAAATACAATATAAATGAATGATTGAGTCATAGACAATAAAAATTTGGTAAGATTTATCATGGACAGTATTTCACAAGACAGCTGATGAACTAAAGCAAAGTGGGGGCTGTCATAATCCAGCAGAGTCAACGGCTGAAAAGGCTTCATGCTGAAATGTCAACAACTTGACAGAGGATCTGCTTTGGTTGCAGGACAGTAACAAGGCAGAGATTAGAGCTGCAGTCATGCATGGCGTTGGTTTAGAGAATATTTCATTTTAAAGGTTAAAACACAAACAGCAGGAAATAAAGAAAAAAACCTAAAGCGACAGAAATTATATCTTTAGTAGTAACTCAAAGATTAACATCATGAGGATTATTTAAGGCTGCTCTTTCCCGTAGAATCAACTAAACTCACATTATAGGGCTGGACAATATCTCCAAAACTTATACCACGAAATATTTCCCAATTTCAGTTGATAACATTTCAGTTTACCTCAATGAATAGAAAAGAAAAGCCTCAGAAAAACAACTAAATTAGTCGATGATTATTTCAGTAATCAATTGATTGTTACAGCCCTACATTATATTCCCCCCCTATTTTTGTTATGCTCATGTTTGGATTATCCATTAGAATGCCCCCCCCCCCCCCCCCCCCCCAAAAAACAAAAACAAAAAACATACTTCAATTGTTATGAAATTCAAGTACAATGTGATCTAAATTGCAAATGTACCAAACGGCTGAATAATTGACTTTCCTGTCTCTTCTGCACAATCTAATCTGTACAAAGCACAGAATATTCCTTTAGACTTTTTTTTTAAAATCAGTTGTATTTTAGGTAGTGGTGAGCATAGATAATTTTTTTTTTAATCAATATTAATCTCACTGTAATCTTGGAATTAATCTAGTTAAAAATGGCTCATTTGAATCCTGCCAAAGGGCTTCATGAATCAGAATTACTTATTAATCCCTCGTGGAATTTTTTTTTCTTGCAGTGAAACCGTTTATAGAAGAGTGAAAAATAGGATTGTAAGAACAAATAAGATATAAGAATAAAATAAGATAACGATGATACGTGTGTGCTGCCTAAATAATAACTAAAAGTAAGTCTTTGAACAGGTTTTTCAAGCCAGGTGGAGCATTAGACGAGGGGCTCATCTCCTGTTCCCACAATTCATCACAAACTACTACTACTACTAAGATAACTGGTGATGAACATAAATAATATTAAATAAGAAGCATTTGTGTTTATTAAGTGTTGATACAGATAAACATAAATTCTGAACTGTAGGCCATGATTTACTAATTACAGTAAGTAGCTTCGTGTCAGTCTGAGCTCTATTTCTCCTTTTTCCACCAGTTGCTCAGGCAGGCCAAATAAAATCTGTTTAGAATGTCTCTTATGATGTGAAGATCATGTATTACATAAAACTCTAGCTCTAGAAATGAAACAGACTAAACAAATAATATAGAAAGTTTTTTTTTTTTTTTAAGTGTCCCATTTTACCCATATTCAACCAAGCAATCATCAAAAAGCAAACAATGTGTTAATCATTCATGGTATCGTGCTAAAATGAAATTTAAAACTACATAACATCGCCTACCTAAAGTGAAGGAGAGCAGTTCCCAGCTGGTATCGATGCACAGTGACACAGAGGTAGTTATCATTATTGACAGATGTCCAGTGATCACCTAAACATGTCGTCTCGGTTCTAATATTTATTTCATTAGTTCATGTTTGTTGTCGAAAAACAACAATTTGACAGTGTCTTTCAGTGATATTAACTTCACTACAGAAAACAAAAAAAACTAAATAAATAATCTATTGCTCAAATTTAAGGGGAGTGTTGGCCTAGTGGGTAGAGCAGTGCGCTTTTGCTCTGAGAAGATTGCAAGTAACACTGCACCATGGGTCCCTGAGCAAGGCCCCTTACCTGCACTGCTCCCCGGGCGCCGCACAATGGCAGCCCAATGCTCTCCAAGGGATTGGTTAAATGCAGAGGTCAATTTCTCCAGTGTGAAATCAATAAAGTTCAGTTATGGGTGGCCTAGTGGTTAGGGCATAGAGCTTGAAATCCTGAGGATCTGAGTTTGAGCCCCACTCCCACAGACTGCCACACTGGGTCTCTGACCTTTAACCCCACACTGCTCCCCAAAGGGACGGGTTAAATACAGAGAGTTCATTTCGTTGCTCCGTACTCGTGACAGTGTATATGACAATAAAAGCTGGAAAAAAATATATAAAATTTGACATTTACAGTGAATAAGTTATTGAAGTTGCTATAACAGCTTTGTGCGGTGTTTTTGTCTATGTGGCAATAAAAAAAAACATCACCTGTACAGTTAGTTGTTAAATTGTAAAGCTTCTTAATTGGAAATGTTAAAAGTGACACTAAAACTGCTTTTTCTTAGAACAGAGCTAAAGCTGTTGCGCAAACATGAGTGCTTTGCAGATAAACGCATAAAAATACAGGTGCTGGTCATAAAATTAGAATATCATGAAAAAGTAGATTGATTTCAGTAATTCCATTTAAAAAGTGAAACTTGTATATTATATTCATACATTACATACAAACTCATATATTTCAGATGTTTATTTTGTTTAATTTTGATGATTACAAATGACAACAAATGAAAATCTCAAATTCATCATATCAGAAAATTAGAATATTGTGAAAAGGTTCAAAATTGATGGCCCCTGGTGCCACACTCTAATCAGCTAATTAACTCAAACCACCTGCAAAAGCCTTTAAATGGTCTTTCAGTCTAGTTCTATAGGCTACACAATCATGGGGAAGACTGCTGACTTGACAGTTGTCCAAAAGACGACCATCGACACCTTGCACAAGGAGGGCAAGACACAAAAGGTCATCGCTAAAGAGGCTGGCTGTTCACAGAGCTCAGTGTCCAAGCACATTAATAGAGAGGCGAAGGGAAGGAAAAGATGTGGTCGAAAAAAGTGTACAAGCAAGAGAGATAACCGCACCCTGGAGAGGATTGTGAAACAAAACCCATTCAAAAATGTGGGGGAGATTCACAAAGAGTGGACTGCAGCTGGAGTGAGTGCTTCAAGAACCACCACACACAGACGTATGAAAGACATGGGTTTCTGCTGTCGCATTCCTTGTGTCAAGCCACTCTTGAACCACAGACAGCATCAGAAGCGTCTTGCCTGGGCTAAAGAGAAACAGGACTGGACTGCTGGTGAGTGGTCCAAAGTCATGTTCTCTGATGAAAGTAAATTTTGCATTTCCTTTGGAAATCAAGGTCCCAGAGTCTGGAGGAAAAGAAGAGAGGCACTTCATCCACGTTGCTTGAAGTCCAGTGTAAAGTTTCCACAGTCAGTGATGGTTTGGGGTGCCATGTCATCTGCTGGTGTTGGTCCATTGTGTTTTCTGAGGTCCAGGGTCAACGCAGCCACATACCAGGAAGTTTTAGAGCACTTCATGCTTCCTGCAGCTGACCAACTTTTTGGAGATGCAGATTTCAACAGGACTTGGCACCTGCACACAGTGCCAAAGCTACCAGTACCTGGTTGAAGGACCATGGTATCCCTGTTCTTAATTGGCCAGCAAACTCTCCTGACCTTAACCCCATAGAAAATCTATGGGGTATTGTGAAGAAGAAGATGCAATACACCAGACCCAACAATTCAGAAGAGCTAAAAGCCACTATTAGAGCAACCTGGGCTATCATAACACCTGAGCAGTGCCACAGACTGATCGACTCCATGCCACGCCGCATTGCTGCAGTAATACAGGCCAAAGGAGGCCCAACTAAATACTGAGTGCTGTACATGCTCATACTTTTCATGTTCATACTTTTCAGTTGGCCAACATTTCTATAAATCCTTTGTTTTTATTAGTCTTCAGTAATATTCTAATTTTCTGATATGATGAATTTGAGATTTTCATTTGTTGTCATTTGTAATCATCAAAATTAAACAAAATAAACATCTGAAATATATGAGTTTGTATGTAATGTATGAATATAATATACAAGTTTCACTTTTTAAATGGAATTACTGAAATCAATCTACTTTTTCATGATATTCTAATTTTATGACCAGCACCTGTATCTACTTTGCATGAAAGCTCATTTGAATGAATGCATTTTTATGATGTGATTCAGTTTATTTTAAGTAAAAGAAGGAAACATCAGCCTCCACCGCTGATCCTACTTTTCTTTTATAGGTTTCTACTTAATATAACTGCGGATAGTGTAACCAACACTCACTGCCACGGCTGCCTTCCACATCGATCTGTGCGCCCTGCTTGGAGGTGATGATCCTCTCCGCTTTCCACGTCCCCGCGGCTCGGATCGTGTCCAGCTCGTGCTCCAACACAGCTTTGGCCTCAGCGACAGCCGCGTAGCTCCGTTTCAGGGCCGGTTCCGAGGACACCAGAAGCCCCCGGACCGGTTTGACCAAACTCCGGACGGTTTTACCGAGAGACATGTTGCAGTGATGGCTTTTTGGTGTCACGCTGCATGCAAGTGCAACGGTTACGAGAAGCTAGGCAAGCGTGATTGCGTCACCACATGCTGATGGGTGTATCTGATTGGGGCCAATCACGTATCGGAGAAGTGTAGCAGGTGGGTCTTTTCGTCCAATCAAATTCTTACTTTTTTATAGTTGTTTGTTAGGTAAACCATAAAGTTATTATTGTATTTTCGTTTCAATAATTGATTTTACAAAAAAAGAAAACAAAAAACAAAACCTAAAAAAGATAGCAAAGAAATATAGACATTCTTGGTGAGGTAAAGAAATGTTAGTATTTTTCCTTATCTATTACACAGACATGACCTGAGTGTTGATCCACTGAGGTCATCAAATGTTTTCTCTCCTCTTGTATTCCAGTGGTTTTTATAATTTAAGGTAGAAGCCAAAAACTCAGCAAGCTTCAAGGTTCCAAAACACAGTTTCACATTGAAATCTCCCGTTATGCAGTTTAAAATTATTATTCTTCAGAGCAGAGCAGAGCATCCCTGTGTTTTTTTACAACTCACTGCCATCCAGGTAGCTTAAACAAGAAGGCTGAAAATGCAGTTTTGCTTTGCTTGGCAGATTTTCTAAAAGTTTGATTAAATCTAATGTAAAATAAAAATTTACAAAAAGATTTTATATCTAAATGAGTTCTATTGATTGTTTTTATTGCAAATGAAAGCTTTAGGCCGGTAAATGTTATTTTTTTGGAATACTTGTATAAATAACAGTGAAACCTATCAGTAATATGTGGAAACCCAAAGACACATGATGTTTTGTTGTTTGTCTGCAAGTATTTAAAGGGTGTTTTAGAAAGGCGACTGCAGGAATTGTGAACTGTCACAACTGCAGTTTATCTAGTTTGCTATCTTGATAGGATGTCCACAGAGTCATAAAGCTATAGGCAAAATAATTTAAAATATAGTTGCTTTTAACTTATGCTTGATGATAAAGTTTGTTTTTACTCTTTGTGGTAAATAACTAAAATCAATCATCTCCCTATTTTTCTCATAAACTGAACAATAAACACTGGCCAATATCTGCTTAATATCCCACTAAATCGATAAAAAGTAGTGATACCAGTTACCTAACCACAGCTTTCCACATATTTCTAAATTGTTTCTAGATGTATTAGGGCGGGGCTCTTTCCTAGATCAGGTATTATGACATGGGAAGCGAAAGATCCTTTCTGTTTTGCAAAGCGAACTGATGCGTATTCCTCCAGTGTGCAACTCTAAAATGTTTCATATTTACACGATGGACAGTCTGTATTTCCATGTAGAACAGAGCACAAGCAGAGGATTTAGAGTCTGTCCATCAGTGTATGCCGAGCAGCGTGGGAGAAGTTCATGATGATTAAAATAATTCTGTTAAGGAACTGCACTGTGTTTGTGTAACGATTTACAATGAAATTTCCATTTTGAAAAGAACTTTAAAACATTGGTTTGTTTACATTCTTCTATTCAAATGACCTTTATATTTCCTATAAGATAACACGATGTGTTATATTTTTATTTTTAAAAGGCTGATCAAGTAGTTTAATTGATTTCTGTTCTTTCAGAAAAGGCCGTTTCAATTATTGGACTGTTTAAAAAAAACATTATTGACCACGTTTTTACCTCTTGGCTCAGGATGAAAACATTACCACCACTGATCATAGCATAAAAAAAAAAAGAAGGAAAAAGAAAACAACTTTGACGTCCAGTCAATAGCTTTAGTTTAATATCTAGTAGCTCTCTTTCATGACTTGTGTAAATTCAAAATAAAACCTCACTATGCGTAAAAGCTGGAAGTATAAAATAACACTATGTTACATCAGAGCTTTAATAGTTTACATGGTTTTTTATAGTAGCTTTTTACCCTTCATGTTACCAATATACATATTTATAATATATTTATTTACATTTTACAGCAGTATTACACGTAACATATCCTGCAAATATTTCTTTGTAGCAACATCTTTTGTCCTAAACACTAGGAATGTAACCGTATAAAATGTGCAAAAGTTTGCTCGCATACAAACCCCTCATAATGTCAAGTTAAAATCTCTCTTCTTCCTTTAACAGCAGGTTTTTCATCCAGTCACAAGCAAGCTTTGTCTCCAGCGCAGAGTAACCAAACATGTCCAGCGTTCCTTCAGCATAACAGCCTCTACTTAATCATTCATCAGGATGACTTCTCCACATTTTAGCTGATGGCGCCGGAGCTCGGACGGCATTGTTAGTGCCTGGGTTAAGACTCGGAGTAGTTGACGTCCTGTGAGGAGCTTCGAAGGGATGGCAGGCGCTCAGCAGCTTTTGCTCTTTCTGCCAAAAACCTGTCGAACTCTGTAGAAAGCCACAATTATTCAAGGTTTGAGTCATTCTGAGATAAATATGATGACACAACGTTATTATTAAGGAACATCAGGGGAAATGAATAACTCTAGAAGAAGTCATATTCAAGCTTTTCCTCCATATTCACAGCAAATCCAAAACCTAAGGGAGAATTTTGGAAAACTACACTTTGAAGTAGGGGTTCCCTAAAGTGGGACTCAGATCCCCACATTGTACGTAAATAAGTAAATATTTATTTGTTATAGCACATTTCAGTAGCAAGGGAATTCAAAGTACTTTAAATCATAGAAACAGCAGAACAAATGTGCAGTAAAATCATAAAAATGTGCTTCACGTATACAGCAAATTATCAAAAACATAAAAAAAATCTTCAACCAGGAACAGAGGACTATCATAGGGAGATTTTTTTATGTGGATTTGTTTATGGCCTACAAATTAAAGGCAGCTCTAAACAGCTGGGTAGAAATGTAAAATCTAAAAGAAAATGTCACATTGAATAATTTAAAAATACTTTTGAAAGAAATAATTTCTTTTTTATGCAAATGTAAATGAATGTAATTACTTCACAACATTAGTGTACCGTATAAATATACAGGAGTAAAATAATTGTATGTAATCTTAGGGGAACGCCAGTCTGTGGCGCTGTTAGTTTTGTACAACCACGGGTGTCTCAAGCGCCAACTACTGGTGAAATTAATAACAGCAGGTGGGACTGAACTAAAATTACCAAGCATCAAACAGATTGGGCTATACTCACTTCTCCAAAACAACAATTCAAAACAAACAAGAAAAAAATAGTAAATTATAATAAATAATAAAATAACATTTTATAAATAACAGCTCTACAAGCTTCTAAACACAAAAAAGCAAACAAAATGGCAGCTAGCATCAGTCAGTCATCTAAGTGGAAACAAAAGGTTTTAATCCTCACCTTCACTGGTTACGCCGTCCGACTCTTCAAAGTCATCGTACTGCAAAAGCACATGTAATAAATGTTTTGATTAACCTTCATTTCTGCTATATTATTGTTACATTGTTGTATCAAAGTGAACAGTGCTGGCAACAGGGACTGGTACCTGGCAAAGATGTGTACAAAGCCTTCAAATAAATTCATCACTGACTGCTAATAACAAAACCCAAATTTTTATTTTTAGTTGAAGTAAAAAAAAAAAAATCAAATGATATGGCTAAATATTTTGGATCTTTGTGTTGCCTTCAGTAGAATTACTTCTCTCTTTATAAGTAGTGTCAAGCTGATTTTTATTTTAAACATACTGGTATTTAAGAGTTTATGATGGCATGCGCTGTAATAAGATCCTTTGGAAGAAAACCAGGCCCAAAGCATCACAGCTCTTCTAAGATGCCAAAGTTTTTCTGCATATTCATTCCTCTGACTGTGACTGGCTACATGTGCTCATTTCATCCTCTGACATGGGAGCTGGCTCGGAGCTCGTCTGCCTTGCTGTGTGTTTCCTGGACGCGGCCGCCTTTGGAGCTGCTTTACAGTTGCCTTTTGTTTATCTGCTTCTTTCTGTATCTCTGCTCCTGTCTCCTTGAACCCCAGCCGGCCTCAGCAGATGGCCGCTCACACTGAGCCTGGTTCTGCTGGAGGTTTCTTCCTGTTAAAAGGGAGTTTTTCCTCTCCACTGTTGCTACAAGCATGCTTAGTGTGAGGGATTGCCTCCGAGTCAATGAGTCAATGCAATCAGCTGGTTTTCCTTAGATAGAAAACTTTGAATCAATTTGACTGTATCATCTGGTTGAGTTGTAAAGGGCCTTGAAGTGACGCGTTGTGAATTGCTGCTGTATAAATAAACTAAATTGAATTTGTCACACTAACATCGAGAGTTTTTTGGTGAACTAAGGCTCAGTTAAAATCCTTTGGGAGTTTAACAAATTCCACATTTAGTGAAAGGCAGAGAAATCAGTTTTTAATAGCATCACAGCTTGAAGATGATGTCTAATTGTTGTTATGGAGAGGTCGCGACCCTAAAATGTCAGCCTTTGCTGCAGAAATCTTCATCTTCCTTTATAACGGGTAGAATAAGAAAAATATTTTGTAATCTGGGTTAGTGGTTCAACAAAAAAAAGATGATGTTGATTGGTTTAATAAAACATCAATAAAATAAGTGTTTCAGTAACCTTTAATGTTCCTAAAGCACTTGACTGTTTATGGTTGATGTGTCACTAAATAATGTGATGCCACTTGCCAGTCAGTCCTATAGGCTTGTTAGCAACAGACCAATCAGGAATTTAGATTAGTCCAGAAGTAAAACAAAACTCTGAAAATACTACCCAGGATTTAGCATAAGCTAGGCATAGCTGATATGGACGTTTTGTTAAAAAAATGTTTCATAAAAGACGGGAAATGCAATTCAGAGACAAATGTAGAGGAAGGAACAGAGTTAAATCTTTTTAAAAAACCAAAAAGTGGTCTTGTCCATGATCATTTCTGCTCTTTTTTTAATGTTTGCCTTGAAATGACTTAAATATTAACTCAGTACTAACATTATGTGAGACAAATGTAGGGCTGAACAATTAATCGCATTTTCAATATAATCGCGATTGAAAAAAATGCAATTTCCAAATCGCGGACGTCTGCAATTTTTGGCTATGTAACAATTAGTGAATCAGACGCGTTCTTTAGGTGTCAGTAAAATGTTTAAAGTGGATTTGCCTCCACATGGAAGGGAAGACAGTTGCAGCAGTAAGATAATCTAATTTTATTACTTGTTTTAGAGTTTATATATTCATACATAGCACTAAGTACCAGTTAATCAGTTTAATACATAGACTGGTTTGTTGGTTGCACTTTGGACTTCATGTTCAACAAGGACTGATGTCCAAATCAGTTAAAAGCTGTTCTCTTGAATAATATTCTGATTAATAAAAACATTAAAAGTTCTTGATTTAAATAGTTCTTGTTTACAATTGTCTTTATTTAGAGGCCCTTTTTGTAGCTTGTGGTTATGTAGAGAAAAGTCAAAATTAAATAGCAATTTTGGTTGAAATATATCGTAGGCAGAACATGATCATTAATTAGGACACAGCGTGTCTTTTAGCACTTAATCTGCACAGCGATGAAACAGATTGATTTGTTGTTTGTATATGTTTAAAAAAAGACATGATCAATTAAACTGGGGGAAAAAAATTGCATTAAATCGCAATATAAAGAAAAAAAATTGCAATTAGATTATTTTCCAAAATCGTTCAGCCCTAGACAAATGTATCCATTGTTTTTGCCTTAATGTTTGCTGATCATGCAAAATGCCTTAATTATTTAAAGTATCCTGAGTTTGTCTGGGCTTTGTTTTCACTTGCTTGCTTTTCTGCAATAATTAAGTTGAAGATAAGCTACGTATATCTTTAGATGGGAATTTTTCCCCTACTGAAATGATGTACCTCAATTAAGTGCGAGATCATAATTAAGAAATACTAAATTCATTTTAAGGCTTTATTAAAATCTGTACCAGGGATAGCAAGTAAGACGATAATCGGCTCAATAAAGAGTTGATGAGAAGATTTTCTAAACACACATTTTGTTCAAACTTGAGCAAAATAATTTTTTTTTCTTTTACCATGCAAGCATCTAGAAAAAGAAAGTTACAATAAATTGAATCAGGAACTCCTTTCCTAATGCTAACGAGACAGCTTTCCATCCGTTGGAAAGTATTACCAGGCGATGCAAAGCGTGATGTCATCCCTTCCCTGTAGTAAACAGGAAGTAAGGTAGAAAGCTAGCGTGAACCACTAATTAGTAATGGACCAGAATTGTAATAAATGTGTTGCAATCGGGGATGCTACACATCCTTTATCATGTCGGCTAGCATTAGCAATGGTACTCACATCCGGAGATGTAGATGGAGAAGAGCGATTCTAGTGCTAGCATTCAGGGGAAACAACTCAGTCATGAGAGACGATGGGTCAGAACTCATTCAACAATTTTGTATCCATCTCCAATTTAGTGCATATATATATATATATATATATATATATATATATATATATATATATATATATAGTTTTTTTTTTTTTAGAAAAGATCAAAAACTACCTCAAGCGACGGCAGAAACCTTTTCACGAAATCTAGTCGAAATTTGCTGTTTCCATTGAATCTCTCTAATGTAATACTTCAAAATGCACACAAAAAGATAGATGGTAAAACATTTCACTAGGTGTGTTTAGTAAGTTAGAAAGTTAACTCTTAACTTAAACAGTTTAAAAAGAAGAATTTAAAGTTGTTTGGTTTTTATCGGCACATCAGCTTTGCATATTGGAGCAGTCTATGATGCTACCACCACCATGCTTGTCAGCCCAGTTCACAGGAATAAAGGCCCTGACTTGACCTTTCAAAATAAAACAGCTCAGTCTTTAATGGAAAACGTATTTTTAAAAGAAGCTTAACCCAATAGTGGTTTAGAGAACACTGTGTGTTTTAAATATTAAAATTTTATTGGAAAAGGCATGGAACATAAAGTCCTTTTACTAACCTCATCTTCTAATGAGAGCCATTTCTCTATATCATCCATGACGTTGGACTGGTTGATGGGAATCTGAAAAAGAAAGTAAAGCTCACGCTTTCGCAGGAGGGCTGGAAGTGAAACAATGATATTAACGTGCCACCAAACCACCGTAAACAAGCCCAAAAGTAAACAAACGGGAAAATAAAACTGCTAAACAAAGCAATGAATGGAGAAATCTCAAGAAGTGAGAAAAATAAAAAATAATAACTTTGGCTCAACGCTTTCAAAGAACACAGTCATGCCCTCAGAATTCAACACCAACATGCAGAGAAAACTATGGTTGATCTCAAATCCTGATTAACCCAGACAGAAAGGAACCCAAAACACAACATTTGTGAAACCGCAGAACTGCAGGGACAAAAAAGCAAGCATTTACACACTGGCTGTGCAGTCAGACCCACCATTCCCCTTTTAATCATCCAATCTAACTTTGGTGAAGAGCTGTGGGTCGAGGCGGGACTCTCATCCTTCTTGCACGCACACACAAAGTTCAATGAAAAGGAAACAGAGAGAAATAGCTATTCCTCCTCATAGGTGCCACCTCATGTGCTCACATGTTTTTTACGTCCTTATACAAATACTGTGTATCTCTGTAACATTAAAACCTCACTTCAAGTCAAATATTTTTATGTTTTTATAATCTTAAGGAGTTTCCATTTTGACGCCCACGTGTTCAAAGGTTCCATGAAAGACAATAAGTTCAATCATGTGACTAAACTTCTTAATTTGTATAAATGACAGATGCCAGTGTCTCTTCTTACCAATCCAGTGTTTTGTAAAGTGCTATCCTGGGCTTGAGCCAGACCGTCCACTTCGTTCATATCACTGGAAACACAAGTTTTGCAAATTAATCACCTGCCATGGAAATTAAGTCAAAAGAGCAAAGTTGAACCTAAGATAAACCTTTTGTTGGTTACACAGTTATGAATGAAGGAAAAGGTTTCTGTCTTGAAAAGAGTGATTTATTTTTTCTTTTCTCCAGCTTGATAACTCAACAAACATTTAATCCGAAGCTACTGATGGATGACTCTTTTCTTAGGTGAACAGTTTTAACTAGAGATGCATCGGAATTGGGTGATTTTCTTAATGATTTTGACTAAAATGCTTTGGCAACACTGGCTTTATGATATTAAATCTCCACCTTAAGAACTTTAAAAATGTGGGGAGTAGCCATGTGTGTTTTAATGAAAATTGCTTGTATCAGTATTTATGGAGCTAAATCGGTCTCAATTTTCACAGATGCACATATGTGATTCATACATGCACAGGACCAGCTCTGCACACACGCACACAGCATGATTCACGCAAGCACAAAACAATCCACACGCACACAGTACAAGCTCCACACACACACACACACACACACACACACACACACACACACACACACACACACACACACACACACACACATAGCACGATTCCTGCAAGCATACAAGATTCACACATGCACAGTACATGATTCACCAAAGTATTTCTGGTCCACAACAATTAGAAATTAAAATACAAAGTAGCAGTGGTCTTTAAACTTCACTGCATTTGTGGATTTTTGAGACTCTCCTGACATGCCTCAATACAAAAACGCAGTTTTTTATATAGGGGATGGTTTGCAACCAATCATAGAGCTCCCTTGTTTAAGCCAATCACAAGAAACTACTCCATGATGCGGTATGTCAGCTCAGCATATCGCATCAGGCCAGCATACCCTTAGTTATACGCATTCCATAGATTTTCCTCTGTCTCCGCACTCCTTACATCCAAGCACACTGTGTGTGTATGGATTTTTTTGTGCTTGCGTGAATCGTGCTGTGTGTTTGTGGAGTTTGTCCTGTGCATGTATGAATCACATATGTGTATTTGTGAAAATTGAGCCAAATTTAGCTCCATAGTATTTATTACATGTCTGACCTTCAGGCAGACTTCATATATTTTCAGAAATCCAATCTTTTTTCATCTGTAAAGGCATTATTATTTATTCACACCTTAAGAAAAACCTGTAATTCTGGAAGCTGTTGCAGAGAGAACACAACTTAATCAAAGTAACAGTAAAGTGTCAGTGCAAAAAAGTCAGAAAAAACCCCCTGAGAAAACACAGATTAGAAAATTTAGAAAAAAACTCTAACAATGCTCTGTTGGTGTTTCTAGCCACATCACTAAGACCCAATAAAAGATGCTAAAAGCAATTAAAATTGTTTATGCTTTGACCATTTCGTTTTTTTGTGAAAAAAATGTCTTCTCCTGTTATTATATAATCTTATAATAAAATTTGAATGAGCTAAAATCATAGAGTCATGTCGAAAATAATAATCAGAGATTGGAAACAAAATTATGTTTTTTTGTATAATTTAATGCTCATAAATCTACTGCTGATTTTTTATTTTTTTTTACCTCAGTCTTTGTTGGCTTGAGATGTTTATTTTCTGCGATAAAACGTCATCTGATTCACTTGTACCTGTGAGTGAAAAAAGGAACAGAACAAAAAAAAAGCGTTAAGGGCTGAAAAAGTTACTATTAACATGGATTAATAGTGAATCCAACAAACTATTTCACTGAACAACAAAAAAATGTCAAACAAATTGCCTTTTATAATATATTTTCTATTCACTGCTGGAAACAATGTGTAAGAAAACTACAAAAACAAATGTTGCCTTTATTTTACTATTATATTATCTCACTAGGGCTGAAACATTAATCAGAATAATCGTGATTAATCGATTATTGAAATAATCGTCAACTAATTTTGTAATCGATTAATCGTTAACTGGAGTATAGAGACTGTAAAATATGCCTTCAGCTGATGGAGCAACCCACTTAGAGCAGTAATTATATCAAAATTCTAAAAACATGTATAAAAATGCTCTATACCAGAGGTAACCATTTCAAAATCAGTGGAAAATCATCAACCAGTAAAGGTCCGGAGACGTTTTTAATTATAATCTGTTCCTTTATACAGAATTTAACACTGAAATAAAATTAGGTGTTTATGCATTCATGTTATACATTGAATTTTTAAATAAAAAAATATTATAAAAAAAAAACAAATAGAACATTATTTAAAATCTAAAGTGTTTTTTGAAGTAGAGAACAACAGTCGTTCAGTTTGGTATATAGACAATTTCCTGATTCACATATTCTATAAAACAACTGAAGTCACTGTTTTCTTTCTTTTTTCTGGCTTAATGAGAGCAGTGGGCTTTATGCTGCCCTGCAAGGCTTTAAACCTGGGTTTGAATGGAGACAAACTGTCCTCAAGCACATATCAAGGTGCTCATTTTTAGCCTGGATTCATATTTATTTTTGATTCTGTTCATGGTGGAGAATCCTGCTTCACAGCAGCAGGTTGAGCCAAACATACTCTAAATGTGCAGGGTCATCTCCGGCAACACCATTTCACCAAAGTTCTTCCAGCAGTCCACACTTTCTCTGCTCTCTTTTTCTCTTCGTCTTCTCCTTCTTTCTCATCGCCCGGCTTGCCACAGGTTTACCTGCTGTGTCTAAAAGTGCCAGCAGCAGCAACCCAGACTGACAGCAGCTCATTGGCTCATTTGTATCATGTGATGCTGGACGCTCCAGAGGGCTTTACCATAATAACAGGAGAAGCAACGCCAATTGAAGTTAGACACTGTGGTCGGACAACATGCTGTTATTCACAAATGTTTTAAATCAGGTTGGGTCCAGATTAGCCAGCAGGTGGGTCCGGATCCGGACCATGGTCCGCTAATCCATTAACTCTGCTCTATACAGAACTCCTCGAGTTTAAAAGTTTTACTTTTACCTGGTTTAATATTGTAAAAAAAAAAAAATTCTTTAAGGAGCCATTGGTTATCTGATTATTCATCGAAAAAAATCGACAGATTAATCGATTTTCAAAACAATCGTTAGTGCAGCCCTAGATCTCACAATGGAAACATTTTTGGATTTTGAGTATTTAATCTTTGTAAAAATCTGGATTTCTTTCACCAAATTAGTTTTTTAGTCCACAACTCAGACTGACTTCCATTAATCACTTTTTGTTCTTAGATGTCTACTCATAACTGATAAACTAGCCCACCGTGGGATATTACCAGCCACAAATACTTAGTTAAAGGCATACTATGCAACATTTTTCAGTTAATTGATGTGTTTTGAATAACGTTTTGGATGATTAAATGAGTCATTTCAGGTCGAACAAAGGTTTTCTCGGCCGCCCTGGTGGTCTGCAGGGGAAATACCGTACTTGCAATTGCAGGAGCCCTCGGCCCGCACCCACAGGCTCAGAAGTCTCGTGCATTGCGAGAGTCGGTATTGCTTTACGGCGAGAACTGCTACACGCCCCCAGTGAAAGGCATGCTCGTTGCTAGCGCAGTGGCGATATTTGTGCATTTATCATGGCAGAACCAGTGAGAAAACAGCGAAAGCCCATGTCGGAGCAGGCAAGCAAGAGGAAAAGGGCTCTGGACAGAGCTCAAAACAACCACGCCTGGCTTGACGGAGAAACCAGGAGAACAGCTGAGCATATTTACGACAGTGCACTTTTACTTTCGCCCTGTGGGGGGAGCCTCGCTGGAAAATCAACACCGGTTGCATAGTATACCTTTAAATTTTCATTTTTTGTTGTGAAACATGATTATTTTACAGCTTAAATTTAGTCGCCATTTAATTAAAGGTCACCTTCCGGAGGGGGTGATTGAAAACAAAGCGATATGGGTCATTTTTATTATGAAACTTACATTTTATAAGAAACTTAAGTGAGGAAAAAGCCCATTAATTGAAATTAAGTAGCTAACTAAGAAATGCATAGGTACTTTCAGTAATGCAGACGCAAGGGAATTGCTAGCAGGCTTTGCACACCATGTTCACTTCAATGTAATTTAATAGATGCAGAGTTTAAACAACACGCATTTCGGATGTCAATCGGGTGTGGGTTTGTATCATTCTTCCACAGGACAATGATTTAGATGAGTTTAACTACTGGAATAAAAAGGTTTTTTACACATTTGACTTATTATTTTATGAAAAAATCCCCAAAAAGATGAACTGAAACCAGCAGATTTTTTTTTTTACATTAAACAACAGGCAACATTTGTAGGTGTTGGTGGCAAACAAAAACAAAACGATTTATAAATTTCACTACTTTATGAATAATCTGGGTACCATGTTTACGTAGTAAGGAGTGTCACACGGTGAGCTACATTGAGGAAAGGGGCACTCACTCAGTTTAGCCAACTGACTGGACAAACTGTCCGGCTTAGACAGACTGAGGGAGCTGTCGCTTTTAACTGAAGTTAATCCTGATTGGCTGATAGGTGAATCAAAATCCGACAGGTTCACATAAGAGGGGCTCTGAAACAGATCAGAGGAAAAGTTTAAAATCAAACCTTATGACAGTAAATTTACACTAATTTGAATGCGTGGCTGCTCTTTACCTTCTGCTCTGAGCTTTGCCCATTTGTTAATCTCCTTTCAAACCTGTAAACAGAAAAAATAATCACCCACCTGCGATTCACTGACGTTTGGTGTTACTAATGATGTGGTTACCTGTGGTAGCGAGTGAAGGCGGTGTTCATTTCGTCGTTGGTGGCCAGTAACTCCTCGATCAGATTCTCCTCACTGAGTCTGGGGATGATCTTCACGATCCTGTCTTGCATTTCCTTACATACAGTGTACAACTGCTAATGACACAATAAGACAAAGCATGTGTGGGTGGGGAGGGGATTGAAGGGCCAGATGCAACACAAAAACGCATAAAGTGCTAGATCAGTTAAGGGCAACACAGAGTCAAGCAACAAGAGAGGAAGGAAATCCCTTTCCTGGAGCACTAAGAACAAAGACTGTCGATGCCATGAGGCTCACATTTACTGCGTGACAGAGGAAGTTTTACCTCCAGCAGCTCCATGTCTGCTTGTTTGACTGTGACTGGATCCAGCTGGCTCATCATCTCTGACATGGTGGAGAGGTTGCAACGCACCACTCCCAGCTCCGTCTTTAGCATCTTTATCTGCAACATTGGAAATATTCAGTAAACAAACCGACCTCTAAGTAGAGATGTTGCAAGAAATCAAAATCATATTAATAGCTCCATCAATTGTGGACACACAGTTTAGATAAATCTTAGTTTTTTATCCAACCAGTGAATGTAGCATATCTAGACCCCCACTATGTTGTGTTGTAACATTCAAAGTAAGTTATTTTCAGTATCAGTAAAATGTTTGAAAGGGATGTCAGAGGAAACACAAAAGCTGTACCAAGTGTCTAAAAGGAAAACTGCAGGTTCCCTGCAGCTTTAAGTTCTGAACGAATAATACTACAAGAAATGTTTGCTGCTCTATTAGGCTGCCACTTTAAACATAGAGATTATACAAGATAACAGGGAGCTGGAGATTTTACAGTAAAAGCTGTTGTGTTTTGCCCTTTTCAACTGAACATTTCTTCATCTCTTTCTGGATTAGGAAGTATTGTCAGTCCTGGAAATCTCTAAAGTTAGGTTCCATGCGCATGAAAATGATCTATTGAAAATTGGATTATTATTCTATTGCTGCATCTGCATGACAGTATATTTACCAACTTTGTGTACAATAGAAATGGTGTAACTTCCATGGCAGGCCACTAGTGGGCGGTATATTTTTTTGAAACTCAACAACCACCTACCGACTAAAAAGTTGCCACCAATGTGTGCCAGAAATGTTCTATTAAGAATAATTATGTTTTTTCTTTGTATGATAAATAAGTAAATTCATACTTACTTATTACCTAATTTATTTTACATTTTCCAGTCTGCATTTAGATTGGATCATAGCAAAGAAACTGCACTGATTAGAGTTGTTAAGATCTGAATACTCGTTTTCAGACGTACTTCTCGTTGACCTTAGTACATCTTTAAACGATACCGATATCGCACCTTTGAGAACTGACTGATACTGATACCAACCAGATATGATATTAGCATAAAACTAAAAGCACAATAATGAACAAGGTATCAAAGCAACTGGCCGATTTATTATTAGCCAACAGTTTGGATAAACTTTAGCGAGAGATGTGTTTTAATCAGTATGCTGATATCGGAGATATTAGGTGCAGGGTAATAATCCGATCTTAGTTATTTTGTTTGATCTTAGATAAAATATAGACTATGGTGTTAGACAAAGATCCATTCCTGGTTCTCTTTTATTCAGTTGTATAAATGAATCATCTATTTGATAATAGGACACCAAGGTGTTACCTATTGTTCATATGCAGTTGATAGACTTCTATATATATCTGTTAATCTAACCCTTTTCTTGTTATATAGACTACTGTATTGGTCTTTCTGGAGCTTCAAAGCAATCTCTCAATAAACTGAAGCTGTTCCAAAATGCCACTGCTTAGCTGTTAGCAGGAACCAGGAGGGTTTTTCAACCATTTTCTTTATATCACACTGAGTGCGTATAGAGGCTCTGACTAGGCAGGGTGAGCAGATCTGTGCAGATTATTTTGTTCACTTCTGTCTTTGTGCTACACACAAATTCAAACAATTTCCCACATTTGACTTGGACAGTTTATGAAGAGATATTTAAGTTAATAAATTAAAAAACAACCTGTGCAGCTATAAAGCAAAGCCCCACTTAACAAGTCTGTGCAGCATCTCAAACCAGAACAGAAAGAGATGGGAACTACGTCTAAAGACAAAAGCACGAAAGGCGGGAAGTTTCTTGCCAAAAGACACCTGAGATGGTTAAAGCGGGGGCTGGAACCAGCAACTCACCCGTTTAAGGGCAAACTGCTGCCCCCTGAGCCTCAAAACTGTTCTAGTTATTCTTGCAGAATATCTTCTTCCTCACCCAAATACTATTTTCTGTATTCGTACACCCTGTCAATTCGGTGCTCTTGTTAAAGAAGTGAAAAGAACCACCCTTTTTTTTTTTACATATACTTATTACTTATGTGAAAAATATGAAGTGGAGGATCTGGGTTCTAGAAGAGCAGTGATCAAAAATCAACAAAAACTAATTTTCATCTCTAATCTTTAAAGAAAAATTAAATAGTTAAAAGTTAAAGGACAACGTGGGAAATAGAAATGATAAGCAGTTGTTAATCAGCACAGAGAAAGGGAACTTGTAAGAGTGGAAAAAAGGTTGGAGATCATCTTCTATCTGCATCACCTGGCTAGGAGTGAAGGCACCGGTTCCCTCCAGGGCCAATTTGAGCTCAGAGGTGTGAGCTGGGATGAGAGGAGGTTTAGAAGACAGGCGCATAGCAGGTAAAGTAGTAACAGTAGGCCCATTCCTGGGTAAATGCTGCCTCACAGACAGGCAGTGGGAAGACAAGAGAAAGGAATGAGCAAAGACAAGAGGAAGCACTAAGGTGTGAAACCAAAGTGCACACAACACTGCCTGCACCTTTTTTGGAGCTTCAGTCGACGAGTAGCCATCGAGCTGAGCCACGGGGAACTCCAGTCCCTTCCTTCGCAGGTCTTCATACACGGACACCACGCCTGTCAGGTCGGGTGAGCTGCGGAATGCGTCTGCCCACGCCTTAATGAGTGAAAACCACAAATTACTGACAGACAATGCGGAGAAAAAGGCTGGGCCCTTTTGTTTTGCTCTGCTGCAGCTTCAGCCCCACCTGTATGATGGCGAGGACTCTGTCATGCACAACCTGCGGAGGGTTGTTCCTCGGAATGATGGAGCGTAACAGAACCCCCTCCACGAAGTCACGCGTCGTCACCAGGATGTGAAATCTGTAGCCGCAGTTCTTCACGCAGGTCTCAAGGACCTGCAGTCAGAGAGACGATGAGGAAAACAAAGAATAAAATGCCAGAAGATTTCAATTCTTAGATTTCCCAGTGATAAACAGGACCAATACTCACAGTAAGAGCATACATGATTTCTTTGAAGTTCTTGTTTTCGAGAATCCTCTTTTTTATGGCTCTGACTGCATCTCTGGGCCTGTTAATCACAGTTTGCAACAAACATGTGAGCTGCAGGGAGGGACATGTTTGAAAAGATGACAGATAACACACACCCTTCCTCCGAGCTGTTGATAATGTCACAGATTTCCATGTTTAGCTCCCAGTCTTCAGATGGTAAACTGGAGTTAGTGGCACGCTCTGTAAAATGAAAAAGAAATTTAGGCAATTTAGTCTTTCATGATAGATTGATTACATTTTTTCCTTTAAATAATTAATAGGTGGTCAGATGTTTTAACTGAGCTTAAAACTGTAACACTTTACAATGAGGTACACAAAATTCAATTAACTACTAGATCCAGGGAACTAATCAGGAACTAATGGGTTGTTTCACTGTACTTCAGGGTAGGCCTAAACATAAACATTAGCTAATAATTAGGTACTAATTAGGTAATAACTAGTTCCCTAGCAACTGCTTGACTCCATAAAAATAGTAGCTTAACAATAATATTTATAATTTTTCCTGCTGTAAACACCAGAATATCCCTCATTGTTGGACATTAAAGGGATTTTCTATTCTATTCTAAAAGAGAAAACCAAATAAAAAAGTTATCAACAGGAAACAGTTTTTTGCAAGTCGTGCTTTCACAGGTCTTTATTTAGAACCAACATTAAAGAATATCTCCTCTGTTTTTGCAGGAATTAACCAGTGGTTAATGAGCCATCCTGATTTAACGACCCATTACTTCCTGATTAGTTCCCTTGTGTTCCCTCTGCAACTATCCTTTAGTTACTTATTATTTACTCATCGTTTTTTTGATAACTACCCTTTCGATCCTTTTTAGTTACTTTTTATTTCTTTGGAAACCGCATCCTAGCGCCTGATTAGTAACTCTTTGTTTCCTTGGTAACTATACTTTTGTTTCTTATAAGTTACTCTGTGTTACCCAGGTAACTGAGCATTGGGCCTGTAATGCGGCTTGGCTGGGTGTTGCCCAGTAATTACGTGTTAACTACTAAAGTCGTAGGGAAATGGCTGTACCAACCGTTGCATTTCCGAATTATCACGAGTGGTGCCCGACTTTACAGGAGTGAATAAAGTGAATGTGATTGGTCGTTTATCAAAAGGGGCTGGATTGTTGTGATAGAAGGTTCACAAGCACGCATGATTGTGGCCGGTTTCTTGGAAGCATCTTGCTAAACAGTTAGCAACTTAGTAGTAGTAGGTTCCCAATGGGAAATTACATTGGGACCAAGTAGCACTAAATTGGTGACTTAGCAACGCCACTGTCAAGAAACACTATGGAAAGCGGCAACATGCAAGAGGAGGAGAGTCTTGTGTCAGAGGCAGTGGATGAGTCTCCTCCGTCATCCATTTTTTATTTAGAGAAGTAAAGTGGGGACGAAGATGTTGTGGAAGAGGACGCCAGGGTGGCAGAAGCTTGGTTTGGTGTAGAAGGCTTACAGCCGTATATGTTAGAGTCCTTGCCTCGCAACGCTGCCAGTTCTGTTAGCTCTACGCCTGCTGAAGACACGGTAACCATCCCCGTGAACACTGGGACGGAACTCAATGGGAAAGGAAATTATTCTTATTTCTTATTTCAACCGTTGCATATATTAGCTGCAACATATGAGTCAAGATGCTATGACCGAAAAAATATGATTGACAGATGAGCGTTGATATATGATTGGCCGAATTTAGGTGTACAAGCTGACGTATAAGTAACTGGCCTGCATAAGATAATGAAAACAAAATATACATTTTCTTACTTTTGGGACATTATGGTCTGATAAAGAGTACATTTATATACATGTTTAAGCCAGAATGATTTGACATTTTAATATGACTTCCCTACGACTTTATTAACTACCTATTGGTTCCCCATTAGTTCCCTCGACGTCCTCTAGTAGTTAATCACATTTCTTTTATAAAGCATTAACCTTATAACATTTAATGACTTTTCTTTATTCATGGTAATAATTAAAACTGATAAATTAATTAACTAATTCTGATAAAAATAATGTTATTTACCAGAACAAGAGAAAGGGAAGAATACAGCTTTGTTGTGTTAAGTTTCCTGTGTTTATGTTGCTAAACCTTTCTGTATTTTCTGAAATGCTGACCCAAACTAAACTGTAGATGCAGAGAGCTCAGGTTGATGCCAAAAAGCATCCTATTTGAAGTTTGGAGAAGGCAAACTAGCTAAATAAAAACTTTTTTTCCCCCAAACAATAAACATGCTATAGCTAAGTACTATCTGGTTGGGTTAACCACAACACGTTTAGTGAGTAACTGAGGGAGACTCAAAGTCAGCTATTGTTAGTCTCATTTAGTTGTTTAATAAGATGTCAAATATCTAAAAGGAAATGGTGTGTCGACTGCATGGTGTCACAGTGGGGACAGAAGGTTTTAGCTTCAAACCCCACCCACTATTTTTGTACTTCAAAAACATAACTTTTAAGGTAAATCTACAAAAAGGAGCCATCTGCCATGCCATATTAAATTCACAGAGTCGTCTAAGGAACAAAGCGACCAAGAGTCGATTTGAGTAGATAACAGGAAGGCTGGAAAGTTGCTCAGCATTAACCTTGAGATCTTTTAACCTTCAATCCGGATAGATTCATGTTCAATTTAAAAATGTTGGTAATCTTTCAGAAATTTCTGAGTCAAAAGAAGGGTCTGAGTTCTCTGTTAACATGGCTGGATTTAACTGCCTCAATTATGCAAATAGCTACAATCAGATGCTAACGACAATCTCTAACGTCTTTGCTTCAAAGGAGTTTTAAAGCAATCGCTCACTGACACACGTGGAAATAATAACTTAATCTCGATGTTAGACATCATTGGGATGAACTTTGAATGTCTCTAAGTTTTTTTTATTGTTTGATTTTCAAACAATTATATAATTTTGGGCAAAAATTGGTTATTTCTAAAACGATTCATCCTGGGAATGGTTTTAACCCACTTTGATGACAAATTACTTTAAGAAATTAATTGTAATCAACTCACTGGTCAATGTAAATAAATTGTGTGAGGTGTATGTTGCCCCGTATTTAGTTAATATTTCATTTATCTTTAGTGACAGTGGCATTTGATGCAGGAGTTTGCTTCACCCGCATTGCCTACTGATGGTGGTCAGTGAGCCGCAACACAGCTGTGGCTATAAGTTTGTTTTCCAAGGTGTGTGATCGGTGAATCAGTGAATGACTGAATGTAGTGTAAAGTTTTTTTATCAAGTCTCCTGGCTTGAAAATGTGCTTTATAAGTACAGGCCATTTATCTGCATGGAAATAAACTAGAATACAAGAGTTTAACATATCTGGTGAATGAGTTATGGGTACTATATGGGAGACAAAATGACAAATCATGTGTATAAATGTGAGCAATGAGATTTTAAATTGACTCAGAGTGGTTGCTTTTTCCTTACATTTCTTATGTGTTTAAAGGAGAGGTTGTGTTTGGTTTTGCTTAAACTGTTTGATAAGTTGTAGCTTTTTAAAATACATTTTTATGCAGTCCTGTTGGGTGCTCATTGTAATGCTCCTTGGCCTCCTTTTCATAGCTTTTAATGTACAAGTAAATAAAGCTAAAGAAGCACTCTTTAAAGGGTATAAATGCAGTTGTTTTAATAGGTAAAAATGAATACAATATACTGGAACTGTTGTGGTTTGCAGGGATAAAGGAGCAACAGGCAGGTGACCACACAATAAGGAAACAGAAAACAGTGACTTAAATTCAACAGGGATAAACTGAAATATATGCAAAACAGGTGGGTGAAATGTAAGGAAAAAGAAACAGAACAAGTGCAGACCATTAGAAAAAAAAAAGAAAGAAAACCCTTCAAAATACCACAGAATATGTGTTTTGGTTTGCAATAGGAAAGGCAGTTTGCTTTATTATTCTGAACCCAGATCCATATCGTCATTCTGTGGGGGTATTTTCAGTCGGCAGCTTAAATGAAGGATAAATTATTTCCTGTCTGATTCCTAAACCCTGGATGAATCGTCTCGCTCCTCAGAGACAAACTAGATCAGATTATTCTGGGAAACACTAATCAGGGCAAAATCACAAATGTGCCCACTTGTGCATGAACAACTCCCAGTTTGGTCTTTAAAAAGCAGATCTATGATATCTAACAACAAAAAAGCAGAAAACTCTTACTATAAAAGAGACAATTTGTGACTGTATCTAAACAAAAAAAGCAGAAACAGTCACAAATTGTCTCTTATAGTGAGAGTTTTCTTGTAAATTGAAAACAAAGCTTGAGTCTAGGTTGATAACTCTCTGATTAAGGGGAATAAACTACATTTTTCTCAGAATATAACACAGTAGAACAGAATATGATTACATTTTCTCTCCTAAGGATAATCCTAGTGTATTACTTTAAAAATCTAATATTAGCAGGATTTAAATAAAGGTACAAAAAGCCCACTAATTGCAACATGAGGACATAATAATAGTTTCTGGATCTCACATTTATTAAATGAAAATAATCTCAGTGCAGTGGAGCTGTCAATGTGCTTATAGTAATAAATGATTTTAAAAAAAGAAAGAAAAAAGAACAACAGTGTGATTTAAATGAGCTGCAGCCTCCTATAATGTGGGTCAGACGTGGTTGGGGGGGTTTGCAGGTTAAAAACCGACCCAACAGAGACCGATCGCTTTACCAACACCGCCCCCCCACCCAACCAGCCTGATCATTGTCTGCCAAGGCCGTCAGTCACGCCTGTAAGCCAATTTCCCTCATCCATGTTCGTGCATTTTAACTGATATTTTTTCCCCCCTTCATCATAATGTAACAGAGCCTTAAACGCATCATATGTTAAAATAAGACCAGGCTCTGGAACAGAATGAAAGGAGGCTTTGCAGGTTGCGGGCGGAAGGTTTTCTGAGCCCCTTATGGATCTCAGCCGCTTTGAATTGAAACAGGCTTACCGATCCGCTGCCCCACCGGCGAGCTGAACGGGTTCCCCAGCAGAAACTCCATGATGGTGGACGGTGTGAGGGTCCAGCGAAGCGCCGACGTCCCCTCCGGCCCCACAGCTGCTGCTGCTGCTGCTGCTTTCTCCAAAGTGGGACACCAAGTGCGTCAGCCGTTAAAGGGGAAGCAGCCTGCTCCCTATCAGATGCTCCCTGTTACACTGTTAATACGAAGTAACTGCGCCCCCTGGCGGCTGTTTGGATTTCTGTTTCACGTTAAGGGTTTAAACATCCTTACATTTGCGTGCAGCGCTGTTATTCTAATCGGTGATTTGCCTGGTTTAAATCTTTTTCTTTTTAGATAATTAAGACAGAGGGCAAAATAGCTACATTTTAGAGTGTAGAAAAGGATGGCCTCAAGTAAAAGCACAAAAGAGATTCTAACAAAGCAGTGGTGTGTCACTATTTTGAAAAAATGTGATATAGTCGTTGTCACCCCCCCCCCCCCCCCCCTGCTATTTATTCATTAATTTATTTATTTGAACACAATACAGCATAACACAGATTAGGAAAAAAGTAGGCCTCTTGGGCCCCATTATCCTGGTGTCCCTAAACATGGTTTAATGGGTCAGTGCCCCTATAGAACTGGTTCTGGCTACTATAATGGCCTCTGTACTGAAGACATAACACTAAATGAATTACTTATGATGATATGTGCTGGCAAAGACTCTATAAATAATTTAATATCTTACCTTTGCAGTTTTAGTTAAGTTTCAACCGTACTGATTATAGTCTGTTTGATCAGATGCATGCAACATGCAGCTTATCTGTGAAACAACAAACTATTGTGCATTAATTTAGATTTTATTTTCTTTTGTTGTTCTTTGCTTTCATGAAAAAGAGACTGGCCCCATCCTGACCCTTGGTAAATTTGGTCTAGAACAAACAGTGCAAAAAGAGTAGTTAGTCTGTATGTGGTTTGTTCTTAACATAAATTCAGGTATTTTGTTTATGATCTCAGCAGTTTGTTAGCAATGATTAGTAAACAAACAGTATCATGAAGACCAGGGGGGCCCTGGGCAACTATGGAGACTTAATGAAGACAGAGGAACACAGGAGAGAAGTCAGAGAAAAAGTTGTGGAGCTGGTTCAAGCAGGTTTTGAAGTAAAGAAAATATGGTTCAGATGAAAATCTGCCTAAAGCAGCCCAGGAGGGGAATTTTATTTATTTTTTTAATAAAAAAGATTTTTCGTAATGTTTTTTTTTTTTTTTTTTTTTTTTTTTTTTTTTAAGAAAGTCAAACAAAACTCCTTTTGCTTCATATTTTGTGAAATCTATGTAGCTTACTGCTAACACATGGAGGAAGACTCTAAAATGACATCAAAACTGAATAAGAAAACAATGTAAAACACCCTGAACCTGCCGTCCCCATAATATGTGAGGAAGTCATGCTGTGTGGATGGCTTTTTCTTTACCAGCGACATGGAAGCTACTCTGAGCTGATTGGAAGATGGAAGGGTTCTGAATACAGGTAACTCCTAGAAGTAAATGTATTGGAAGCATCAGAATATTTGGCCTTTAACTTCCAGCTAAACAAAAACCTTAATAAACAATCAGAACAAAGGTGGACCAGTTCTTGGTTTCAATTGGGAAATGACATGAAAGGAAGAGGATGGTAGAAGTGCTAAAATGGTAGATATCTGAGTGCAATTCAACTAAAAATCTTTCACTCAAATTATAACATTAATGTGATCTTATAACATAAAAAATGCCCTTTTACTTTGTTTAGATAATTTAAAAAAACACCTGTTAAATAAACCTTACATTATTCACATTCATTAGTTTAATATAGGTTATTTATTTCAAATAAATAATCATATATGGAGTATTGTAACAGTATTTACTCAAAATTAATGCAAATGAATGTGTTTATTTCAAATACATGCAGTTTATTGTTTAAACTGCTTAAAGTAACCCTGAATATCATGCAATTTAAGAGATAAACTTTATGCTTGTGGAACAAATACAATGATTAGTATTAATTTGGAGTAAATGTATTTTATTAAAGATACAATATTATGATATATTTGAAAAAAATATATATATATTAACAATGAGGCCCCAGAGTATGTTTTTGTCATTTGTGCAGGAAAATTACTCTTAGATTACTGTATGTATCAAAAACCTCATTCAAACCTCTTCTGGAGGAGCTGATTTGACTTTCCCAAAGACCATGCTCCCAAAACCTGCAGCCATGACAACCAGTCACAGTTCATAAAGATAGCCTAGGAGGGTTGGAATAATACATTAGATGAAGGCTGGAACTTGACCAATGGGCTGCTACAGATAGCTCTTGACAGCTTATTTCCCCTTATGACATCATAAGGGGAATGCTTTTTAAACAATGCATTTTGAGCATACATTAGCTAAGAGGTGGGGAAATGCAATAACAGACATCAAAGGTTTATTTTCATTGGGTGAACCTCAAACAAATGTTTCAGGACACATATGACTGTTAAGAAATGTTTATAATGTGAATTTTGTATGCGGCAGACTGGCGACCTGTCCAGGATGCCCCGCCTTTCGACCATAGACCGCTGGAGATAGGCACTGACCTCAAGGAATAAGAGAGAGAAGATGGATGATGCATAGAATGACATAAATCTTAAAATATGTGGGGAAATATGTTTTTGAGTGAAAGGCGGTTCCTAAAAATCTGGATTCAATGGGTATACATCTAGATGGATGAAACACTTCTCAGTTTTCCCTATATTGCAAGACAAAGCATGAATTCAATATCATTATCCTTCTGCTTTTTCACTTCTTTTTCCATCACATAAAATCCCAATAAATTAACTTTATGTCTGAACTCAAAACATGACATAATCCAAAAAGGTATTTTCCCATGAGAAGGTGCTGAGTAATTTTCCATCCTAGTTGTGTTGCCTGCTGCTCTCTGCCGACTGACGTTCCAAAGGGGAAAGTGAAATCTTCCCTCAGGGATCCAACTGATCTCATCTGCCTGCAGAGAAAACTTCCTGTCACACTGCCAGTGGGAAAAACAAGAGATCCGTGGACAGAATATTCAAGACAGAGCATTATAAAAGCAACACAGGGACAGCCCTGCTTCCTTACAGAGAGGGAGTCAAAGAGCTGTTGGGTTTGATCGTTTTGTAAGAGTATGACTCAGACACAGTGACTCACAGCAAAACATGCGTCACTATTAAAGCTGACATACGTCGCTTCACTATTCACACCAGCAGGTGACATAGTTGTCCACATTTAAGAAGATCTGTTGAGCTGCTCTCACTTCTTAACTTCAGATAAGTTTTAATTTCACTTGTAATATTTCTTTTTGTTAAACTAAACCATCATTATAAAGATAGATATGATGAAGAACAATCAAACAAGACAGCAAGTATCTAGGATCTTTAATCACTGTTTTCTAAAATTTACTAAGTAGGGTTAAAAAAATGTGTACCTGATTAACCATCAGTGTTATTTTTCACATCATCTAGTGAAAGATCCAGTCAATATCTATGGTACATTTAAATTTTTCTCTACAAATGTTCAACTGAAAGATGGTGAAGATTATCTATGCAAATCTTTTTCTGCTCTCCACTCCACCAAAGCAGCCAATAAGATCAAAAAGACTCTCCTTTTTTAAGTCACTTCATCCATGTCGGGAATCTGCTCCCTGCTTCACCAATTGGGTATTATCCCCTAAACTCTATTTATACACTGGATTGCCGATTGCCCCTAAAAAGTGAAGCCACCGTCCACCATGCTGGTTATCCCCACTCCCAGGGAGACACGCAGTAAAAATGGCCACAGTTTTCCAGCTGTAGGAAGACGTTCCCCAGGTAATTTCACAGTCAGTGGATGTACTAACCAATAAAATCAATATATACGCCAATATATATATATATATATATATATATATATATATATATATATATATATATATATATATATATATACCATGCATGTTATAGGTTATATTTACAGGTTATATTGGTGGGAAAAAAAAATAACATCTGACCCCTATATATATATATATATATATATATATATATATATATATATATATATATATATATATATATATATATATATATATATATATATATATATATATATATAGATAGATAGATATAGATATATATCACATGCATCATCAATGTAGCACATTTGGTGCATCTGTATTGTTATGCTCCATTAACAGATACATTTTATTGTGATAGATTTGTATAATTTCTTATATTACATGATTTATAGACTTTATTTACTTCATAATGACTATGTGATGGGCCTATTTTTTTAAATTATAAGTTAAAGTAATCTACTTATGATATGAAACAGCAAGTGTGTATCAAAGTGATGAATTTATCTTTATTTTAAAAGTCTTAAGAAAAAGTTAAAAAAAAGTTCAAAGTTTAAAAGTCCCCCTGAAAATGAGAGCATCATCGTTGTTCGATGCTGTAGTGCATATTTTGTTTACCAATATGGCTGCCGGTGCCCGTACTGGGGGAGTTGCGGCCTAGTGGTTAGAGCATAGGGCTTTGAATCCTGAGGTTGTGAGTTTGATCCCCCACTCCCACAGACTGCCATTCTGGGTCCCTGAGCAAGACCCTTAACTCCACACTGCTCCCCGGGCGCAACACAATGGCAGCCCACTGCTCACCAAGGGGATGGGTTAAATGCAGAGACAGTGAATGACAATAAAGTTGAATTCTATTCTATTGTACTACCAATGGGCAATCAGCAATCCAGTGAATAAATAGAGATAAGTGGTACTATCCCGCCTCACTCTGCCTGCTGCTACACCCCCCTCACACTCCTACTTGCACTCTGACCTATTATGAAGCTCACCTGCTCATTACTCCTACTCACTGCCACCTGTATCTTGTTAGCAGCTGCTGAGTGTGCATGTATAAGGCACAGGTCTCCAGTCATTCAGTGTCAGTTCATCTGTGATTCAGAGTGTACCTGTTCGTTGGCCTTCTGCAAACTGTACTCCTACCTGTTTGACCCGACCTGCTCATCCTGTTAACGGCAACTTTTACTGCCCTGGATTCCTGCCTCTGTCTGTGCCTGTCAATTCCAGCCGGTGCCGGTATCTGCTGCTGTTTGCTCCACTCAGTCTCTCATAGACCTTACTCCAGTCATTGGATTCTCTGCCTCCACTCAGACTCT